CTGGGGGTGCCCCTGCTTGCCCCCCCCTTGTGCATGCCCCTTGTCAACGGTTCTTCTGCCCCTCCCCACTGTCCCCTCAATCTGCCAGTTCATTGGGGGGCCTCCCACCTACCTGAGGACCTTGGCAGTGAGGAACTTCCCCTCCGGCATGTATTGCTCATACAGGGATTGTTTCGGTATGAAGAAGGGGACGACTTTGTAGAATTGGATTCGGCCCACAACTGAGCTGGACAAACTGAGAAGAAAGAGTCAGAATCATAAGTTGGCAGCTTCACCTTAACGGCAGCTATTTTACGGGGCCTGGTGCACGTCACCAAACCACCATCACTACAGGCAGCCTCCAACCCTGGCGAGACAAAGGAGCAGAAGAGAGGGAGTCCAGCAGGTCAGCCTGGAGGGACATTGGCAAAGCCAGATGGGCAGGACGGGAACAGCAAGGGATGTTGCAGGTCAGGATTGAGGGACACTGGGGGAACTGTTTATAGGACGCTGGCATAGCACCTGCCTGCCATACGACCAGGTCCCTATTAGATAGTATGACATTTTTCACATAAGCTTCACAAGCTTACAAAAAACACCAACCATTCTGACTTACAGAACGAAATCCACTTGGGAAAGTGGCATTCTGTTGTCAGAGACGCTGCAGAAGTTTGAATTCTAGAGCTGTAAACACAAAACAAGCACGCACACACAGACCTCGGGCCTACACGGCCCTCTGTACTTCTCTCACCACGTGCTACTCACCCACAGAACACGCCCGACTGCTTGACGGATCTGACATAGCCTCTGACCAGCTGGCCTTCCCGAACATCCTCAACACATGTCAGTTCAGGATCTTCCACTTTGTTTTTGCTCTTTGGATTTGTCCTAGAAGAAAGGGGGAAGAAGGAAAATCCTCACTGCAACTGAATGGTCTGTACTCTGCTGGGTCCTGAAAAAAATCAACCCAAACTGCTGGAGACTGGAAAGCAATGATCCCTTTACGGCGTGTGAAGGACCAAGAACATCCTTGTTTCTCCTCCCGTTTATTGAAGTGCACAGTCTGTACACAGCACTATACAGCAATCCATGTATAGTGTACTATGGCTAACCCCTTGACCTGGTATACTTTTAAGATAGTGCCAGAAGAAGGGGCAAGGGCACTGATTGAGGTTGTATGAAAATTTGGGGTTTGTGTCCTCCTGCCCCAAAGAGGCTTTAACCCAGCCTCCCATCACGTGCATTCATGTGTCCGGCTACCTGATCTGTGGACACAATCGGGTACTCTGATGCCATCATTCGTGTTTGCAATGCACGATTGGCACAAAGTGAGACAGACTTAAAAAGAATCAAGCTCTTAATCTGCCGTTTCTTCTAAAAAGTAAAACATCCACCTGCATTTTTGAGGTTAAATGTTTATGCTGCGAATTCCGCCATGGGAAACTTTTTTTTTAAACTAGGTCTAAAGAAGTTCACTGGAGGAAAGGTAAATACACAGAACACACATATACAAATGCAGCTGTGTGAACAGAGTTAGAGGAGCAGGGAAACTCAATCAGGCCTAAAATGCTTATAAATAAAAGGTGTGACTGTCTATATTCAGAACCAGACATCCTCACCTTCTCCAGTACACAGAAAATCCTCTATGCAGAATGAACAAGCAGCGTCCAAAGCTATCTTCATCCCTTACAAAGTCTCGGCTATCAGGCTAATTATGTAATCTGAACACATGCATTGGGCTGGCCTAGTAAATATGGGTTTCAGGGTGGGTAAAACTCTGAATACCAAGTTTCACTGCACTTTTTATCACTCTCAATGCAAAGGCACCTACCTGGATTGCCGGAGAGATATTTCTATTTTGTTGTCTTCATTGGATAGGACACAACACCTGGAGATGTGGGAGAGGCACGAAAACAGGAAACTTTTGAACAGATTAAAAAAAGCCATGCCCAGAGGAAGCAGAGAAATTCTTCATATAGCAGCATTAAACGTAGACGGTGCACTAAGAACCCAGTGCTCTGAAGCACGTACAGTCTACTGCAGACCAGTGAGATGCAACGATTTAGGAGATCAGCTGAGAAGGTTTTGCGAAAGAAAACAACCTAGCGACCTACACCATAGTATCTGAGCATCTCACAATCCTGAATGCTCACAACACCCCTGTGAGGAAGGGAAGTCATGTTAGAGGTGGGGAAACTCGGTCACAGAGACACCATGGCCCAGATTTAGACATTTAGGAGTGTAAATCCTATGGGATTCTGGCTCTTAAGTGCTTACATTCTTTTGGAAAATGAGTCAGGCTCCTAAATCAGTTAGACATGGCAACACTGAGCACAGCAGCACCTAAATACCTTTTAATATCTGGGTGTAAGTAATGTTCCCTCTAATTTTTCTCATGTACATGCGGAATGAATTTTGTTATGTGCACCAATATGGAGGGGATTGTGGCAGGGGTGGGGCCGAGGGGTTCGGAGTGTGGAAGGGGGCTCAGGGCTGGAGTGCGGATCAGGGCTCCGGCTGGAGGTGCAGGCTCTGGGATGGGGCCAGGGATGAAGGGTGCAGTGAGGGGGCTTCAGGGCTGGGGGTGTGGGCTCAGGGGTGTGGCCAGAGATGAGGTTGGAGTGCAGGCTGCCCTGGGGTCACAGCGGGGAGGGGGGGGTGAAGAGGGAGAGAGAGAGAGAAAACTCCCCCTCAGCCCTCTCTCCCTGCAGCAGCTCTGGGGCTGGGGG